AAAACTCTCGAGGCACTCTGGATTAATTCCAGAAATCCGAAAATGAACCGCAGGGAAGAATGCCTCATTATCACGAAAAAAATAGGGCAGTATATAAAACTGCTTTTCTGATATGAGGGGCACATTATACTTCCACGTGATTTCTGTGCGGTTGGTCTCTACGTGACATACTTAGTGGAAACCTCATAGAAAGCGGTGAGTGTGCAAAGCTGTGTTCAAAGTGATTGAAATCTTGGTTTGGAGTTTCTTTGTTTGGTTATGGAGGCGTCTGGTCGAGTGGATTGCTATCAACTTGACCTTTCCAGGCTCTGAAGAAGGCGAAATCCGCCGAAACGTCAGCTTAATCGTGAACAAAGAATAATAACACCTCGCGTTTGCTCAACAAAAACACAAAGAAAATCCCTAGTGGAAGTTGTAACGTAGAAAGAAAAAAATGAAGAAAAGAAAAACCGTACGAGCAACACCAAACCTCCAATAGCGGCTCTATACTCTTTGCTTGGATCTCAGTCATCGATGTGAACCCCATCTTTCGAATTGCTTCCAACAAACGGTCGTTTACTTTGCCCTTCAGACGATCAAATTTGCTCCCGGATAGAAATGAAGCCACATCTTCTTTGAATGATGATTCTGGAGGAACAGTATTCTCAGCAAATCCATTCTAAACAACGAAAAAATTTAGATATAACTAATTCAAGAATGCACAAACAATCAACCGATTTCAAAATTGAGAGTTAACCTAACTTCTCACAATTAGTATATGACTTCACTCAATGATGTTTTTGCCTTTATGCGTGAAAGCAATTAGCCTTCACATATGACCAATTTCAAAACTATAGCCAAATTCCCAAACTCGAAAAGTAAAAGTTGGGAATGGACTCCATGAATAGCCACACTTTGCACCTATGCTCAATTTTGATGAGAAAATTCGCGCAACTGAGATCACGCAAGTCGAAGATCGGTAATAGACGAGCACAACAAAAAGAAGAACTGCACCTCAGATTCCTGCTCTGGATCATGGACTTCCACCTCTTCCTTTATTTCTTTCTCTTCCTGGTCCTCCTTCATACGTTCCTTTTTCCGTAACTTAACCTTAAAATTGCCACTGTTTTAATTGCCTCTTTCACTAATATGAAACAAAATTGGATTTTACTTGTATAGATTGCGACCAGAAAAAAAATAATTGGAACTTCTCCTCAGAACATCTATATTCATAAAACCGTAATGACTACGCTAAAAGCTAGAATCAAATCGAGATCAAGATTACCTGAGCGGCTTTCATTTTCTCCAGCTTTCTCTTCAGTACCTTCTTCTTGACATCCATACCCATCTGAGATTTTATTAACCGGTTACATATTTGAGTGTTATAAGCAAGAATATCAACATAAGACAACAACGTCAAAAAGCAGACTGAAGTTAGTAAATACCTACGTACATAGAACAATTAGCTACAAAAGCATTTAAACAATAAACACTGAGACATATAAGGACTATGTACAATATTCTCAAGACAAAGAAAAGGATCAGATGTCGAGAATCACGAAGATATCACAACGATTTACGTTCTCATGAATCTGCATATTCGAATAGGTAATTGCTTTAACGTCGGTTAACTGAGTGTGTTTCTGTAGACTGAAGCATTCGCCAAAAACTTCAAATTCAGCAGACCATGTCTTCAGGTCCAAAGACCTGACAATGACCCTCCGTCCCACAAAGAATGGTTCTGACTGGAAACCACAAAGCGCTTCTGCCATAACTGCGTGCAACAAACCTTGCAAATCGTTGGCTTTTGCTGAGTAAAACATAGAAAACTGCTCTTCTACGCATTCCAAATCCGTCATATAGCCATAGGTTGCTGTCACTGCTTGTGCTATGGCAGACGCTAAATCGGGACCCCATGCATGTACTTGAACATCAGCCGGATGATCCAAGTAACAATAACCGGACGTGTTCTTCGACGACCCTTTCAGGAAATGTTCGGAGACTTCAGCGTCAACAACTTCATCTTCGATCGAACCTTTCGAAGGACGAGGTTTCTTTGCCATCAAATGGAAGCCGGTTTCTCCAAGTGATGAATGAGAGTTCTGGTTTTCGCTGATTCCAATTCTGTCAAGACTCATAACATCTGGGAAGAAACTGAAACGAAACTCGTTACACTACAAACCAATTACGCTCCCAAAGTAAGAAACACGACTATGGAAGCAACACTGGAAACTGGGAGATTCTGAACGTTTGCGAACTATCGGAACACTAAATTCTTTCTTAATGTTGTTTTACCGCAAGCAATTAGGTGTACCCTCAAGGGTTATTTAATTATGCTAAAGGACAAATCACCCATCGTTGATCAATCCCTGACAGATGCGTCATGCATTTGACTTCATTAAACATCGTTGGAGGTGACTGAATGCATGTCTGGCCTTTACAATGAATCGCGGTAGCTTACCGATGTATCAGGCCAGTGCTCATATCCTACCAGACAAGTCTGGAACCAATTTCCCCATTCCGCAGAGACAGAAGGCTTGGCGAGCCTTGCACACGATGGGCGATCCAATGTGTACTGCAGGGCGCCTCCGACTACTGCGCTACACGTGCCATACTAAACTAGGTAAAAACCGAACAATTATCAGTACAATTTTCAATTTTCACTGCGCGAGGGATATCGATACTTTAACCCTAGCAAAGTTGAAGCTAACAATAAAAGAATAACAAATTGATGAGCACATGAATAAGCTTTGTACAACGGCACATACCGTTTCGTTTACTACCTTCTTTTACTGAAGGAGTTCATGAAACTATTTATGGTACACTTTTTAAGATGAGTCACTGAATAGTGGAGCCAAAAATGTTTACAATATTTACAATATCTATGTACATCGATCTGATCTAGTCATGAAGAGCGCTGCTCCAAAATTCCATAAAAAAGCACAACACAGTAATTAAGTGTACAACGGGATTCGGAGGCAATTCGGATCCTCTGATTCTTCTATACATAAAATTCAACACTACAACTACAGAACTTATGTAATCAACACGCTATGGTATTACGAAAAATTCGAGAAAGTGGTTAGAATACGTCTATAGAAATTGTGACGAGAAGTACAGAGAGGTATTGGATAAGTTGTAAATGAAAATTAAACATGACTGGTAAAAACATCATCAGCGATTTCAAGTAAATCATAACTGAAAAAATAAAAGATTAGTATATATCACTCTTCATCCAGATCCCATAATGGGTCACTAACAGCAGCACTCTGAGACATCGCGCGACAGGATAACAACAACACGCGCTTCAAAGTTTTGTTGTGGAAGAAGAAATTCAACCACCACAGACAACCGTCTTCCGAAAACGGATCATCCGAATAGTTCGACTTGAAGCTAAACAGAAAGAAAACCTGGGTCATTAAGTCAAAACCTTCTTCGCGAAAATGCAAATCAGAAATCTGCTACTGAAAACGACAGAAGATGTATTTGCGGGAAACATATCACCAACCTATATATTCGACAGTCATTTGGCTGAATCTCTGAACTAACTGCCAACCAAAGTTCGTCTTTCATGTACGCATAGCCATTCACAGTAGCGTAGAACTTACTGTCAACGGCTTTCATAACAATCTGAAATAGTACCTATTACAAACAAAACAACATGCAAAGTGAAAGTAACTTCTGCGAAAATAGCTAAAAACCATGATTCTGCTGAGATACTTGCAAAGGTCCCGGCCACAGGTGTCTGCGGTGTGGTGGAAGACACCAGGTTCAATCCTCACCGCGAACAAACACGGCCCAGTTTCGCAAATATCTCCGCATCACTGTGATTTTCAATAATTTTAAAGGTTTAGACAGTAACACGTTATGGATGACTAAATAAAGCATAGTAGGGGTGTAAACGTGTACTCTTCTAGCAACAGAACAGCTCTTGACGCGAAATCAAAGACTTACATCGACACTTGGGATGAGAGAGAAACTGCTACTCTTGACATTACTGAAATCGTAGTCTGGATACGCTATATTCAAAACGCCTATCAAGTCGAACAGTGTCCGCTTTGATATCGAATCCAGAAGAACGAACTGAAAAACTCGCTTCTAGCGATGACGTCAGGCACAGCATGATTCAAATACGAACGAAAAAAGTGGGCAGAATGAACTACGACGCTCCCATATCATCCGCGTCGGTCTCCGAGCCAGATTGTCCTGCTTCGGAAAGGTGGCGCATCCTACCGGAATGACCAATAGGCGAGGCAGATATGCATAGGAAATCGTCAGGTGGAGAAAGAGGCTGAATAGTTCATAAAATCAATGAAAAACATTCTTAATATTAGAGAGGAGAACATGTAGATAGGACAGAAAGGAAATCTTTACAGATTCACGTCAAAAACACGACCAAATTTTTAGGGATAAAATAATAATACTAAAGTGAGGAAAAGTAACCGCACCTGTCTTTCATGAGCATTATCATTCTCGCTTGGCCCTCCAAATGTTTTCCACTGTTTCTTATCACTTTGCACCATTTTGCAAGAGTACGATTCCAGCCTGAAACATGGCAAGCAAGAGTTAGTATTGCTTTAAAACGAAGTCCGATCAGAATGGGACATTCCTTTCGGATTAAGGTGTAAAAGTGCTCTTTCTTTCATTGATAAACTGCAGCGTCAAAATTTTAGATTTCGCACAAGTAAAAGATCCTCTTCCAAAAACATTCTAGAAACCTCAGCGTCAAGAAAAATGGCATCTAGGGTTGCAAAGACATCTAACATCCTAAATCACTAAGAAGCTCCTTACAAATTGGCGTTAGAAACACTTTCTGATGGCTACCAAAATGTTACTCCATACTTACCCTCTTATACGCGCTAACGGAAACGGAAGTATCAAATAAAGTAATCAATGGGAAAAAAAAGCACGTACTTGATGTCTAATATGCAATCGATCGATCCTATACTAAGACTGGAAGCTAATGCTTCAAGTGACGAATTCTCCAAATACTTCATCGGTTCGAATCTGAAACAATGAATTTGGCCAGATAAACTGACTTATACATATAAGTTCAGCAAGATAACTGTGTTAGCAGTTAACTGGTTTAATAAGAGCAAAACCTGGACGTGTTAACATAAAAATATCCAGAAAGCAAAAAATCGATAAAGAAAAAACTAGCATCGCAAGGAGCACTAAGACTGAGTCGTGAGACACGAGAGTGGTACGCGACCGAGATCACGACCGCGACAACACGTCCAGCCCGCCCACATCCGAGACTGGTGGATTCCAAAGACTCCCGACAGCCTTACAAGTAACAATTATTGTACTTTATTTGGGATTCCAGTCATTTTCCTGGAGAGAATTTTAGTTCAATGCTGAGTTTTTCTCGCGGTTCGTACCTATGAGCAGTACATTTGAGTGCAGTTTGAATTTACTTGCTATTTTTACTTGTCCATCAACAGTACCTATATACCTATATTCTTTGCCGTGCTGCCGCTAGTAGTTAGACACCGATCGCTGTCTCTGTACTGAAATCCTAGTCCTGATAGGCTCATCGATATGAATGATAAGGCACGGTGATGTCGTAAATCCCGTAAAATTGTGAAAATGAAACAAAATTACAGTCATTTTCATAGCTTCTGGTAAAATGTATTCGTACTCGAAGTCATGCCACTATCCATGCCTAGGCCTAAGCCATAGCCTAAGCCTAAGCCTAAACCAACGAAACACCTGTGAATACAATGGGAATAAATTTAGCACATAGAGGTGAATTGCATTTAGATCTTATTGAAACATGAGAACTCAAAAACTTATTACTTAAAGTGGATTTCGGTACTATATGCAATCCACGAAATCTTTCATTCTCGAAAGTGGAGGTAACAAATCCGGATGCAATCTGTGAACAACGAGGAGGACGGACGAGTTGCCTGTCACGTGGGCGGAGAGTAAGTCATGATGGTGAAGTGATGCTCGTATTTGTCAAAGTGGTTCTTTGACTTGGCCTTTTAAGAACTTTATTAGTCGTTTTAAGGAGACGATTAAGGTCATATTACTCGATCATCTACAACTAAAGGGTTGTTTAAGCATTGAACCGTCATCTAACGCCTTCTAGAATGTGCTCTTCTTAGCTTAGCGAAAAGTTTGTATCATTGCTACAAGTTATTTAAGCTTTCACAGCACTACACGCGGGCTGGGTCATCAATGTTCTAAGATTTTTCCAGTCAGTGATGTGGAATGAGTTATTCCAACACATTTCAAGGTTTGTCCAGTCATATTACCGTATATATATTGTAGTTATCTTTAGTTATTTTATGTGTGAATTCTTTAGACTACTTGAGAGATATTCCTATGGAAATCGGTAGGAAATTCTATCCACCACCAATCGTAAATTTACCGATACTGGTCCTACCGGAGCCGATAGAAGACGTAGCGGTAGGTAATTTAAACGGATACTTCAAAATCTCTAAGCTTCGGATATTTGGACATCCGGTTGATTCTATTTCTAAGCTGATCATGCTTGAGAAACTAGCTTACGACGTTTTTTTCTGGTTAGAATGCTGTAATATTCCCTCTTTCTCCTAACCGTTTGCCGCTTCATCGCGACTGTGTTCCTGAGTGTCGAGCTTGTATCTACGGTGAAGTGGATTCATCCTGCCGCCAGGTTCATCCACGTTCAGAAGGAATCAGGCGTTTCCATCAGGAAGCCTAGCTAAAAGTAAACCAATAGCAATACTAGGATCCCCTACTATCCTGGTATGAAACTAGTCGCATGGTGGCAAATCTCCCTCTTATCCGCAAAGGCTGCGACTGCACGTGGTGGTGATGGCCTGGGTCAGACTTTGACCAAGCTGACCTCGGGACTCCAGGGAACCACAATGGCTAAGCCTGTAAAACTCTGAAAAAACGAAAACTGTGCTGGAGCTCGCGCAACCAGTGAGGATAGCCATTTCCCTCGTCAGCTCTCCTTTGTGTCCGAAATTCCACGTAGATTACTTCATGTGGTTAATCTTCTGGAAGCAGTTAAGGTGAGATAAATTTAGGTGAACCTTACGAGCAAATATTTTTAAGCATCACAAAATTTTAAAGCTTTCAAACCTCTATGCTGGTTTGTGTCTTGCGGTTTCCTATTCTTGTTTTCCAGTATCATTTCGATGTTGAGAGGAAAGCTCGCCAGCAGTATGATGAATTCAACACCAGGCCAGAACCCTCCACTGAGCAAAGAAACGTTGCCAACGGAGTTACTTCAGCCGACTCGTGTGCCACGTCGGCCACTTCAAGTCTTAATGTCCGTGTTTTTCTATTGTTCATTCTGTCTTATCCGTGTTTCCGAGTGTCCTAAGCGGCCATTAGCAAAGTTCAGAACATACCGGGGATTGCGCCTGAGGTACTCCACAAAATACCCTTTGTTTTTGGTTTCAGATTAGACGTGCACTTACTTGTTAGAGACAAACACCAACAGCATACCTCTCCTGAGGTACGTCCCAGTTACTTGACTGTAAGGTTTGGCTAAATGAATGTGCAGTGTGCGGTCCGATCTGATTGCTTGTCTGCAAACACATCCACGCGTGTACGGGTGAATATGCCTAAGAGTTTGTGGAATGTGTAGGCACTCCAGCAGGGTTGGAAAGGCTATCTCATGGATTTCCCTCCGTTGCAGGGCACTACATGTTCGCTTATGCTTCACGTTGAATTTGCCATCCATTACCTTCGGTTAGACTACCTACTTTCACTACAGAAAGGCCTCAGATCTATGATAGAGATGTTACATGGGAATAGGCTACCATTTTTAAGTTCTTTAATGGATTTTCCTTTGTTTTCATTTGTTAGAATCGTGTGTTGTTTTGGCGAAGCAGATTCGCGTTATTTGTTTTAAGGATGTTCTTTTGCCATGTGCTGCTCCCCCAGCAAGAGTAGCCCCGTCTCGTCCACTAGCGCCTGCCCTGAAATCTGTAAGTTTTGAGGAGTTCGAGGCACGGGGAACGGTATTTGATGAACTGGAATGGAGGGCAATCGATGACAAATTAGCGCTGAGTCAGGTTAGCCGGAGGTTCTTTAGAGAAATACGCGGAAGATGCTGTTTCTCGCATGTGTGTTGTAGATCTGCTCAAGAGTTCCGCAGTTTTACTGATTGGAAGAGTTTTTTTTTAAAGATCCTCGGAAATATGCGAGTGGAATCGGCCTCCGAATCTCGTATTCTCGAAAAGTCAGTGATTAATGACGAAAACAGTGTGCAGAAACCCCTCGAATCACTTGCAAATGACAGTAAACCTTTAACGGTTTCTGCGATACCTCCTTATCCCGTTCTTGAGTTTGGGGTAAGTTGTATGCCACTCTGTGATTGTTAATTCTTCTTCTGTCCTTTGTTTGCTGTGTCGGTATAGCAACTGTTTAAAGCGGTCAGTACGGCAGGTGTGCAATGTAGTTTTAATACCCTAATTTAGATGATGCTGAGATATTTGCAAAACTCCGGACCGCAGGTGTCTGCGGTGGGGAGCAAACGCGCTATCACCCTTTCCGCGGGCTAACACGTTCACCCCTACACCATGCAGGTCTTTCGTTTAGCCTTCTCTCAGCTGGTTTTCTATCTGCCAGTGCCATCAGCAGTTACCCATCGACGGGATTGATCTGGGAGCCCAAATCGGTGTTGAACCCAGTTAAGCTGAGGTTGTAGTTGGAATTCGACTTTCACACGTTTAAACTTTACCCTAAATTATTTTGTTATTATTTGTGCTCACTTCTAAAGTGAGAATTGTTATGAAAATTCCTCAGTCCTGCTAATAAATCCTTGCCAAAGTATTTGCTTGTGTCTCCTGTGATCTTAAGAAGCACGGAATGGTTCCAACGCGCGCCACAATACCTCTAGCGACATCTATTTTCCACGTTGTCCTATCCATTTCTCTCTTCATCTATTAGAATGACAAGAGCGTCCACTTTTTCTTCCGCTTTCTTTATTTTCTTCTCTTCACAGTTAATGTATTTTTTCATGTCCTTCCATATTATATACATATCTGTCTTCACATCTCTTCAAAGAAATTCGTCAGTTTGACTTTTCGTTTTTAGAGTTCGTCGAAATCTGACGAACAGATGGTAGTATTAAACTCGGCGGGTAAATTGGGTACTGCTTCGTTCAGTAAATTGCCTAGTCCAGGTATTTTTCAAAATTCTATTCCAGCCACAGGTTTCTGATTTGATGTTTGTATTTTTTATGTCTTTTTGTGGTTTGAAAGATTCGAGGTTTAGCGATTCTCATGTTCTAAAGTATCTCTCAGTGCCTGTGAAAGAAGCTGTTCCTTCAGTATCTTCGTATGAGACGCCATTACGAACTCGTTTACTAACTAAGGGATATCGAGAAAATCTTGTTAATGTGGCTTTGGGAAAGTTACCTAGAGAAAGACTACCTCATGTGAGTTTAAAGAGCGGTTAACCTTATTTATAATTACTTGTAATTTAGTTAATAATTAGCTTATTAAATTCTGTTCTGTAAATTCTGTAATGGTCGCCTGTAGCGCAGTGGTCGGAGGTGCCCTGAAACAGACGTGGATTAAATCCACGCGCCCATGGCCCACCAAGCCTTCTATCCCTCCGGGGTCGGAAAATTGGTACCAAACTTCTCTCGGAGGAAAGCAGCACTGACTCGACACATCGGTAGGCCACCATGAATCATTTTAAAGGCTAGATATGCATTCAGTCACTTTCAGACGATACTCAATGAAGTCGAGGCATGGGGGATAATTCACGGATTGATCAGCGTCGAGAACTTTATCCTTATCACAATCTTAACGCTTTTATTTACTGCCTTTTTCTTTTTAATGGCAGGGTATACGTCGTCACTCAATACTGCAATTGATACCCAACGACATAATCTCCATGGGAATCTTACGATGAAGGGAATAATAAACGCTTACAACTTTAAAGCAGCATATCACAGGATAGTTCATAGTGAATTTTATTAAATGCATCAAAAACTGCTAGTGGCTTTAGTTCTTTGCCCACATGTTACAAGTTCTCTGTTGCTTCTGTAATGAAGTCCTGATCTTTCGGAGCTCATGAAACTCATGAAAAATAGTTTCTTCTCCCTCTTTTTGGATCGTGATTGGTATTTTGACCACATGATTAATTAAACGTGCGGAATTTCTATGATATTCCCCAAAATACTTTTGATATTTGCGGTTACCGCACTTGTTCGGGTGTTAAAATCTTAAGCTTCGTTCTTTTTTTTTTTGAGGGAATCTTGATTATGAACATTCGCAATTGAAAGGGAGTCGTAGTAGGTCTACGTAGACATTTAAAGCGATAGAGCGTGCTCTGTTCTTTCAGTATATAAAGTTCTCGTCGACACCACTGCTCCATCAATAGACGAGTCGTCTGCTCTTGTTGAAAAACTAAAGTAATCACGAAAATTCCCAAGACCGACTTTCTGTTAACCTCGGCATTAATTGATAATTCAATGTTTTTCATCAATAAGCAGACACGAGGTTGTTAATATAGAATTTATTAGAACACAATTGCTGACGTTTCGGCGGTTTCGCCTTCTTCAGAGCCTGGAAAGGTCAAATTGAGATGTGATCTACTCAGCCAAACACTTTCACAACCCTAGCAGATAAAACTTGACAATTCGATTTGCATTCGCATAAGGAACAGCTTCATTCAAACACCTACCGTTTATTTGTTGTAAGTATTTAAGTTAGTTGGTGGATAGCCGCCGCACAGAGTAATACATGGTCGATAACTGTGTCCATGTCAGGTCATTGGATCAGCCTGAGGTATGGCGCCAGGTCACGCGTGATGACAAGACACTCCTCCTTGCGGTTCATTTTTGAATTTTTGGCATTGATCCAAAACGCTTCAAGAGTTTTACGCGCTGATGTTTTTGATTCCTGCGTAAGGATAGTGACTCCTACC